ATGGCATCACTGACCATAGGCTGAGCCCGCCTCCATTGATCACTAATTGAGAGAAATGCCTTACAGCTGGATCTCATGGAGGTTTCTTCCTCTCTGATGACTCCAGCTTGTGCCAAGTTGACACAAACCAGCCAGTACAACTACCATTAAAAAGCACTTTCCTGGGGGCTGGAGAGATGATTCAATGGTTAAGAGCACTGCCTGCCCTTCCACAGGTCCTGAGTTAAGTTCCCAGCAACCACAGGTGGCCATAATCATTTGTAATGAGATCTGGTGCCCTCTTCTGGCCTGCAGACATACATGCGGACAGAATACCGAGAATACTGTATACATAATAAATAAATCTTTTTTTTTTTTTAAAAAAAAAAGGTGCTTTCCCTTCCTCCAGGCAGAGTGATCCCTTCTCTGGGAACTTGCCTGTTTTTGCAGTATCTCTTTAAATCCTTTTTTTTTCTTTCTGTCTGGTCTTAATTCAGTCTCAGCCAGGAAGATAAGGTCAGGGTTATCCTTGGCAACTTAGCTTAGTTCCAAGGCCAGCCTGAGATACATTAGACTCTGTCTTAAACAAACCAAAAAACCTTTCTGGACTGAGGGTATAGTGTAGTACTATAAAATTTTTTAAGGAAAATTTCTTAGTCCAATTATAATTTGTAATCTTAACAAAGCAAGACAACTGGGAAATCTGTAATCTCCCAGATGCAGAGCAGGTTCTGAGACTCCAACCAACAGAGTCATCAACAGCACATGGAAAGGGGAAGTGAAACTGGGCATGGCGGTAAAGGCATATAATCCTAGCATTTTTAACACTTTATTGTTCTTTTGAGATAGGCTCTCATGCAGCCCAGGCTGGTTTCAAGCTCACTGTGTAGTTGAGGATGATCTTGAACTTCTGATGGGACTGGACAAGTTCAGTGTGATATGGCTGTAGACAGATCTTGAATTTCTGATTCTCCTGCCTCTACCTCCTGGGTGCTGGCCTCACAGGCATGTGCCATCATATCCAGCTTATTCGGTACTGGGGATTGAGCCCATGGTTTGTGCATGTTGTAAGTACTCTCCCAACAGATCTACACCCAGATCCCCAGTATTTTCAAGTGGGATGTAGGAAGATCAGGAGTTCAAGGGCACCTTCAACTATATAGTGTATTTGAGGACAGTGTGGACTACATGAGACTGTCTCAAAAAAGAAGGGCTGGTGAAATGGTTCCGTGGGTAAAGACGCTTGCCAGCAAGCCTGACGACTTGAGCTCAATCCCCAGAACCCACATGGTGGAAGGAGAAAACCAACACCTCCAAGTTGTCTTCTGACAGCCTCACTAAAGCTGCAGCACACACACACACACACACACACACACACCAGAAATACACATAAATAATAGATGTTCAAAAGCAACAGCAGTTGGGCAGTGGTGGCACACCTTTTAATCCCAGCACTCCGGAGGCAGAAGCAGGAGGATCTCTGAATTCAAAGCCAGTCTGGTCTACAGAGTGCATTCCAGGACAGCCAGGTTTACATAGAGAAACACTGTCTCGAAAAACCAAAACAAAAAACAAAAACCCACCACAACAAAATGTATTGAAAGCTTATGGATTACAGCTTAGTTCATTGGTTTTTTGTTGTTTGTTTGTTTGTTTTTTGTCTTTGTGTGTGTGTTTTGTTTGTGAGAGAAAGGGAGAGGGAGGGAGGAAGTGAGGGAGGGAGAGAGAGGTGGGCTCGTGAATGTTGCAGTGCATGTCTGGAGATCAGAAGACAACCTTGTGGAGTCAATATTCTCCTTTTACCTTCATGTGGATTCCAGGAATTGGACTCAGGTCATCGGGTTCACGCCTCAAGTACCTTTTACTAAACCATCGCACCAGCCTCCACAGTTTCTTTTTCTTTCTTTTTTTCTAAAGATTGTTTTATTCACTTTTGTTTATATGAGTTTATGTGCAGCATGTATGTGGGGGTCTACAGAGACCAGAGGGTTGTGGGAGCCCCTGGAGCTGAGTCACAGACAGTTGTGAGCCACCTGATGTGGGTGCTGGGAACTGTACCTGGGTCCTCTGGAAGAGCAGCAAGGGCTCTTAACCACTGAGTCGGTTCACATGCACACCTGTGCACATGCGCACCCACACACACATGCACGCGCATACATACACACACGCACATGCACCCACACCAATTTTCTTAAAATGCCCATTGTGACTCCATATAGGGTCTCAGAACTAAAAGTGTGTATCACAAAAATTTTGGAAATAGTAAAAGTTTTTTGAACATAAAATGATCAAAACTTGATTCAAGTCCAACAGGAATGAATTCGAAGTTTTCCTGGTAGAACTTTCCTGTCTGTTTTGCTTTGCACATGACCTCACTACAGCCTCGGTTCTGAACACATAACAAGGGGCATTTTGCCTTGAGATATCTTTATACTATGCTATTCCATGGAACTCTGCCTGAGACACCTCAGCTCATATTCAAGACTTGTATATTATGATTTACAATTTCCTTATTATATATAGTTTTCTTTTACAGAATTGTAATGATTTATTTATTGAAGACAAAAACTTTTAAAACTTTTCTACTGGGTTTGGAGAAATGGCTCAGTGGTTATGAACACCAGCTGCTCTTCCAGAGGTTCTAAGTTCAATTCCCAGCAACCACATGGTGGCTCACAGCCATCTGTAATGAGATCTGGTGCTTTCTTCTGGCCTGCAGGCAGAAGACTATATACATAATAAATAAATCTTTAAAACAAAACAGAACAAAATCAGAAAACCTTTTCTACTGTCCTTCCTCACCAGGATTAGATTATTAAAGTGGTCTGTCTGAATGTGATTAACAGCACTTGCTGCAGCCCCAGAGGACCTGGGTCAGTTTCCCAGCACCCGTTTGGTAGCCCATAACCATCAGGAACACCAGTCCCAGGACATCAGACACCTCTTCTAGCCTTGTAAACACCAGCATGCACAGTGGTGCACACATGCATGCAGATGAAACATATATAGACATAAAATAATTTTTAAAAAAGGTACTGCATTTAGCCAGTCGTAGTGGTGCACAGCTTTAATCCCCACAGGGGGCTATATTTAGAATATCTTGAAAATTGTATTAGAATCTTTAAAAAATGCCATTTGAGTTGCTGATTTGAATTTTATAAAATACTAAATGAATTTGTTCTTGGGATTAGGATAGAATTTTGAGACTTCTGAAGTGATCGCAGCACTTCTGCCACTTTCTACCACCTGTTTATTGAAGTAGCCGTCCCAGCATTGGCACTATAAAACACAGACATAGATTAACTCTGAGAAGTGTTTTAGATGCGCTATATCTTTAGCTATGAACTATTCAGTCATGATTTAAGGTTTTACATAAAATTAAACAAGCACACACATTCCATTAGTATGCAAATTTGCTTCTGACTTTAATAAAATATAAAATTACATAAAACAAAATGTAATTTATGTTTTATTATCAATATTTGATTTGTATACTTATCTTATATCCCTATAGTACCAAGAGTAATGTAAAACTTACTGACTTAGGAATGGAAAAGTTTAAACCCTGGCATTGTACATTGACTCCAAGTCCTCCTGAAACCAACAAGATCAGAACCATACTGAAACTACATATTGATGTGATCTGGTTTTCACACAATTCTTATTTGATAATAAATATTAAAGGGCCTATTTTATTTTATTTACTTGTGTTTTTATTTTATTTATTTATTTATTTAGAGCTAGGCTTTCTCTGTGTAACAACGCTGGCTGTCCTGGAACTTGCTTTGTTTTTAAATCTGGTTTTGGGTTTTATTTTGTCTTTTTAAATGCGTTGTTTTGCCTGCATTCCCGGTGCCCATGGAAGCCGTTGTATCTCTTGAACTGGAGTTACAGTTGTGAGTCGCCATTGGGCTGCTGAGAATTAAACCTGAGTCCTTTGGAAAATGAGTCAGTGGGTTTAATCCCTCAGCCATGTCTCTAGTCCCATGGTTTGGGTTTAAATAAAAACACTTATTCAATCTCTAGCCCAGGTAGCCTTCAAATTTCCGATGTAAAAAAATGATGTGGAATTTAAGAGTTAGATCGATTTTCCAACCTCCACCTGAGTGTTGGGATTGTGAGTATGCTTCAGGACGCCCAGCTCGTAGATGCTAGGACAGAAACCTAAGACTTTGTGTGTGCTATGCAAGTAGGTCTGCCAACTGAGCTACAGCTTTTGTTTGTTTGTTTTGGTGTTTTTTTGCTTTTGGTTTTTTTTTTGATTTTTCAAGGCAGAGTTTCTCTGTAGCTTTGGAGCATGTCCTGGAACTACTGGAACTAGCTCTTGTAGACCAGGCTGTCCTTGAACTCATGGAGATCTACCTGCCTTTGCTTCCCAAATGCTGGGATTAAAAGCAAGCACCACCACCGCCCGGTTTCCTGAGCTACGTCTCTAGCTCTGGGTAAAGTTTTGTTTATTTATTGGTTTGTTTGTGACAATGTTTTTCTGTGTAGCCCAGGCTGTCCTGGAACTCAGTCGGCAGTCCTGGCTGACCTCTAACAGCTGAGATTCGCCTGCCTCTGTCTCCTGAGGGCTGCGATTAAATTAAAAGCATAAATCCTTCACACCCGCTTTTTTTTTTTTTTTTTTTTTTTTTGGTTCTGAGCTCTGAGTAAATTATCTAAACTGGGATAGTCAGTGGCTGAGCCAGGTGTGGTTCGTATCCACAATCCAAACATTTGGCAGGTGGAGCAGGAAGATGAGGCCAGCCTGAAAAAAAAAAAGAAACAAAAATTGTTTTACAAAGGAAACAGCTGAACAAGTATAAATAATTCTGATTAATGTCTGACACAAGACTCTTAAAGTCCTCTTCCTCCGTGAAGTATTTTGTCCTTGACAAGCAGTCACGAGTCACCTGGGGGGCGGGAGAAAAAAAACTCCCAAAGAACAGTCCACGCCTGCGCTTGAAAGGAAGGGCGGGGCTAGAACGGAATTTGTTCTCGTTTTATTGGTTGGGAAGACTCTGACCTGGTCACATGACAGGAACCGGAAGTCTGGGTTATAAAGTAAAGGAAGCCGAACCCTCAGCTGGGTTTTCGTCTCGGGTTTGCTCCGCAACAGCTTAAAGCCCCGTCTCGAAGCGGTCTTCTGGCCGAGCTTCGCCTTCGCCATGGCCCTCAGCGATGCAGACGTACAGAAGCAGGTGAGGGCCGGCGTGGGTGCCGCGCGGCCGCAGTACCGGGCTGTGCTGGCGTTCGGCTCCTGCAGAGCCGGGTCTTAGGGCGGCCAGAGCTCTCGGTGCGGGTCTTGTGCGCCCGGAATATTTGCAGTCCCGGAGGGGGGGGGGGTTGCAGTGCATCTCACGTGACCGCTGGTCTCCTTGCTGTCACGGAGCCGTCAACTGGCTCAGCCTCCCATCTCAGCAGCCGCCTTTTTCCTGGAGTTCTCACTGCTTAATCCGGCAGAGTTTTGTGCAAAGGTTGAAAGCTGGGTTTTTTCTTTTCCCTGATTTTTTCTTTTTCCAAACGAAAGGAATGGCCCAGAGTATATGATAGGAAAGGGACTGTTGGGAAAGAGCAGCTTGCCTTTGAGGACCTTCGTGGTGTGAACCGGGGCTACGCATCTTGGGAAATCATGATTTCAGGCCTGCTGGGCTTCACACCTAACTTAAGAATCTTAGGAGCATTCTGAAGTACAGCCTAAGGAGAAACGGTGCTGCTGACAGGCCTATGACAAGAGAAAGGTGCTTCCATTGGTCTTGCTGACTGTAAAAAGTCTCCAGGGACTTTGCATTTAGTAGTCATATTGCCAGCTAGTTTTCTTCTCTCTCTCTCTCTCTCTCTCTCTCTCTCTCTCTCTCTTTCTCTCTCTCTCCCTCTCTCTATTGGGGAGTTCCCTTACTGTTTTGAAATAAATTCTTGCTTTGTGGTTCTGGCTAGCCTGGTATTATACATACCACGTAGTCCCCAGCCTCAGCCTCCCAAGTGCTGGGATGACAGGTGCAGACCTCCCTACCCTAGCTGCACATGGGTTTCGAGAAAAGAACGTTGAAAGCTGTGGTTTAATGCTGCATAGTTTAGAAAACTTAAGTCTATTGTTTTCTCCAAGAACCAGGAAACTTCTGGCTGAAGCGCTCTAATTGCTTGGGAATCTTCCTAGATGAGCTGTGTTTTTGTCTTTGATGGTTCCATCTCTTGGGTAAAAATAACTTCTCATTTCATCCTTAACCAAGTATGAGTGAGGAACAGTGAGGTTTGCTGGGTGGTGGTGGTTCACACCTTTAAAGCAGGTGGATCTCTGTGAGTTCGAGGCCAGGCTGGTCTACAGAACGAGTTCCAGAATAGCCAGGACTACACAAAGAAACCCTGTCTCGAAAAACCAAGAAAAAAAAAAGCAAAGCCAATAAGGTTCTTACACCTTTTGGGAGTGAAGAGGAGAGGAAGCTGTGGTAATTACAGAAGGGAAGCAGGGTGACATCCGTGAAGAAGATTAGGAAACCCTACAGTATGTTCACAGAAAATGGGCTTTGGAGCATTTGTCACTGCTTCCAGTTTTAGCGTAGGAAAAACTTGATGCAGTGGAAAAGCAGAGTGCCCTGCTCTTAGCAGGCACTATCCACTTCCTTTTTTTTAACCTGTCCTCCTACCAGTTCCCTTCCTATTCCTTGTTAGAACTGTGTGGGAGGCTGAGGCCTCCACAGGAAAACTACAGTGCAGAAACAAAGTTCACGGCATTTTAGAACAGAATCATTTCTTCCTTTTATAAAATGAGAGAAATCCCATTTGCAGTCTGTGCTCACTCCTGTGAGAACAGAGGTCTTTTGTTTGCTTGTTGAGGGGGGCTTGTTTTGTTTTGTGGTGTTAGGGTTCTTACCCAGGTCTTGGTGGGCAAGTGGTCTGTCAGTGAGCTACACTCCTAGGCCAAGGACAATGTGGTTTATTCAATATATTCTCAGCAATATATAGACCAAGTGCCAGGCATATAGTAGGGCTTAAATTCTAGATTCTACCCAGGCGGTGGTGGGGCACACCTTTGATCTCAGAGAGAGGCAGAGAGGTAGGTGGATCTCCGAGTTCAAGGCCAGCCTGGTTAACAGAGTTCCAGAAGCCAGAGCTGTAACACAGAAAAACCCTGTCACATACAAAAAAAAAAAACCCAGGAAAAAAAATTCCTAGAGTCGTCTTTCTCCCAACATTTTTAAATGTTTTTTTTCAATTCTATTTGGGGCCATGTGGTGCTGACTTGGGTCTTCACACATGGTGGATAAGCACTGAACCATATACCTCCTTCTCTGTACAAAATATTTCCTTTTTTTTAATCTAGAGAGTTTGGTCATTTATTACACCAGATTTTCTAAGGGACCAGACTCCAGAAAACTTTATTAGTGGGATATCAAAGAGAAATAAAACAAAACAAAAAGCCCACATTTTTGAAAGTCTGTTTTTTTTTTCTGATTTAGGGGTGGAGCTAAATGTCTTAAGGGGTTGACTCACAGTCTTAGAATCTTGGTTGACTGTAAATAGACTCCTCTGGCCTGTGTAAATGAGTGCCTTTGCTCCTAGGCTGGTCAAGGCGGGTCTGGAGCCAAGAGGTCCAGCAGTAAGGAAGGCAGGTAATACAGGTTTGAATTGGTTTCACCCAGGAAGCCAGGTCTTGGATCTTGGAGCATTTGTAACACTGATCACTTTATTAAACTATGTTTATGTTTTTGAGCCAGGGTCTCACTGCACTGGTTCATAAGAGATCCACTTGCCACTGTTCCCCAAGTGCAGGGTCACAGGCATGTACAGCCATGCCTGCCTGCCTGCCTTCCTTTCTAAATATGGCTTATTTCTGTCTTAGTTAGGATTTCTTTCTTTCCTTTTTTTAATGTGCACTGGTGTTTTGACTGCATGTGTGTGAAGGTGTCAGATCCCCTGGAACTGGAGTTCCAGTTGTGAGCTGTCGTGTGGGTGCTGGGAATTGAACCCAGGACCTCTGGAAAAGCAACAGTGCTCTTAACCAATGAACCATCTCTCCAGCCTCTTAGTTAGAATTTTTCTTCCTGTGCCAAACACCACAACCAAAAACAACTCTGGAGAGAAAAGAGTTTATCTCAGTTACACTTACATATCACAGTCCAACTGAAGTCAGGGCAGGAACCTGGAGGCAGGGACTGAAACAAACTATGTAAGGGTTTGTTCCTCAGCCTGCGTTTCTATACATCCCAGGACCACCTGCCCAGAGGTGTCACCACTCACATAAATACTAGTTAAGAAATGTCATTTAGGCTTTCCTACAGGCCAGTCTCCTGGGGACAGTTTTTTCAGTTGTAGTTCCCTCTTCTCAGATAACTAGCTCAGTGCTGTGGGATAACCCTAACGTATGCTGTGAACATACGTTGCTCTCATTGGTTGATAATAAAAGCTGCTTTGACCTATAGCAAGGCAGAATATAGCTAGGCAGGAAAACCAAACTGAATACAGGGAGAAAGAAGGGCAGAGTCGGGAGAGATGCCAGCCAGCTGCTGGAGGAGCAAGATGTATTAGAACACAGGTAAAGTCATGAGGCAAAACATGGATTAATAGAAATGGGTTAATTTAGAAGTAAAGAACTAGTTAGTAGCCGGACAGTGTTGGTGCACACCTTTAATCCCAGCACTCGGGAGGCAGAGGCAGGCAGATCTCTGTAAGTTCGAGGCCAGCATGGTCTACAAGAACTAGTTCCAGGATGGACTCCAAAACTACAACAAAACCCTGTCTCAAAAAACAAGCAAGCAAACAAACAAAAAGAGCTAGTTAGTAATAAGCCTGAATTGTTCGGCCAAGCAGCTTGTGATTAATATTAAGCCTCTGAGTGGTTTTTTAAAATCGGCCAGGACAAGGCAAGACAGAGAAACCTCCATTTACCCTCGAGCTTGTGTTGTTGTGTCTAGTTGACAAAAGCCCAACCAGGACAGCTGACTTAGTAGGTAGTAGGTGAAGTACCTGATGCCAAACCTGATGACGTGCAATCCCTGGGACCTCCATGGTGGCAGGAGAGAGCTGACCTTTACAGGTGGCGGACCTCGGTGGTTATGCACACCCACTAACACACACAGTAAATATGAAAACAGTCGAGATGTTAGGTGCTTGGTAGAGGAGGTCCAGAGTGCCCTAGGAGCACAGCAGTGGGAGTTCAGGAGATGGCGGTTACGCTGGGGCCTGAGGCGGTGGCCACGTGAAGATTGGTGGAAGGGGAAGGGGAACAACCTGTGGCGACAGTTTCGGCAGAAGCATCCTTGGCTGTGCAGTTTGTTTCGGGTGGTGCTTGAGAGGAGCAGCATTCAGTCTTGTACCTTCTGAGTCTTTGCCCTGGCTTTGTAGCCCTGGCTGCCATAGGGAGTGCCCTGTAGACACGGCAGGCCTGGACCCTGGTAATCCTGTGACTGAAGTGAGATGCCTTCTCTTCCTGACTGAAACATGATGTCTTTTCCCACATAGATTAAACACATGATGGCTTTCATCGAACAAGAAGCCAATGAGAAGGCAGAAGAAATTGACGCAAAGGTGAGATTTTCAAGTTGAGTTAACTAAAGGTTCATGCTATTTGGTTTTCCTAAGCACTATTACTGCTAAAATTGTTTAGTTTCGCATCACATATGATCAGTAAGAAAATGTCTTTTTTCCCCCCTTCCTCAAGATAAGGTTTTTCTGTGTAGCCCTAGTTGTCCTAGAATTGGCTCTGTAGACGAGGCTGGCCTCAAACTCACAGAGATCCACCTTCCTCTGCCTCCCTGAGTGCTGGGATTAAAGACATGCACCACCACTGCCCACCTTTAAAAGAGGGGGTGCTGGAGAGATGGCTCAGTGGTTAAGAGCACTGACTGCTCTTCCAAAGGACCCGGGTTCAATTCCCAGCACCCACATGGCAGCTCAGAACTGTCTGAAGATCCAGTTTTAGGGGATCTGACACCTTCACACCAATGCACATAAAGTAAAGTTAAATAAACCATTAAAAAAAAAACAAAAACGGGAAGGCTGGGCAGGCAGTGGTGACACACGTCTTTAATCCCAGCACTCAGGGAGGCAGAGGAAGGCGGATCTCTGAGTTTGAGGCCAGCCTAACCTACAAGAGCTAGTTCCAGGACAGGCTCCAAAGCTACAGAGAAACCTGTTCTGGTACTTCTGTCCTCCCAACTCCTAGGTGCTGGAATTACTTACTTTACCTGTTTTATGGCATGCACACAAGTGCTCTTCCAAATGAGCTAGGTCTTTAGCACTCATTTTAGAATGTGATAGTACAGGGACTGGAGATATGACTCAGCAGTTAAGAGTATTTACTGCTTGTCCAGAGGACCTAAGTCTGGTACTCAGCACCCATGGCAGGCAGCTCACAACTGTCTGTAGCTCCTTCTCCAGGGGATCCTATGCTTTTGGCCTTCACGGGCATTAGCACATACCTACATGTAATTTAAAATAATAAATCTTTTAAAAAGAATGTGAAAGTTCAAATACCTGTTCCAAGCCTTGAATAACTAAATTGGTAACTTGCCTAAAGTCATAATTCTTTTGTTCTTATTTTTGAGACAGGATCTCATGTACTACAGGATGCCCTGTACAGGTGAAGATGCCTTAAAGTTTAAAAACAATTTTTATAACGGTCGGTGGTGGCACACACCTTTAATCCCAGCACTCAGGAGGCAGAGGCAGGTAGATCTCTATGAGTTGGAGGTTAGTCTGGTCTACAGAGTGATTTCCAGGACAGGCAGGGCTACAGAGAAACCCTGTATCAGAAAACTGGAAAAAAAAACACACACACAATTTTTACACTTCCTGTGTGTACATGTGCTCATGCACTGTATTTTTTTTGTTTTGTTTTGTTTTTTTAAAAGATTTATTTATTTATTATGTATACAGTATTCTGTCTGCATATATGCCTGTAGGCCAGAAGAGGGCACCAGGTCTTATTGTGGATGGTTGTGAGCCACCATATGGTTGCTGGGAATTGAACTCAGGACCTCTGGAAGAACAGCCAGTGCTCTTAACCTCTGAGCCATCTCTCCAGCCCGCACTGTATTTTTATTGAAAATAAAACAAAAAAACATGAATCATACATACATGCATACATACAGATACACACACAAAAATCCATAAAAAACAAAATCAGAAACAATAGACATGTAATGTTTTTTTAAAAAATGCCCAAGTAAAGCATTATGAGAGAAAACATCTGAATTTGTTTTGTTTGTTAATACCAATTTGTTTTATGTTGTCCGTCTCTCCCAGGCACGGGGCCTCCGTTAAGTGTGGTTTGTATACACAGTAGAATGCTTAGTTTGGGTTCCCACTGCTGTGAAGAGTACCATGACCACTGCAGCTCTGTTTTTGTTTTGTTTTAAATTTTATTTATTTATTTATGTATACAGTGTTCTGCATGTATGTCTGCAGGCCAGAAGAGGGCACCAGATCTCATATAGATGGTTGTGAGCCACCATGTAGCTGCTGGGAATTGAACTCAGGACCTCTGGAAGTGCAGTCAGTGCTCTGAGCCATCTCTCCAGCCTGACTGCAACTCTTATAAAGGAAAACATTTAATTGGGGTGGTTTACAGTGCAAAGGTTCAGTCCATTATTATGAAGCATGGTGGCATTCAGACAGACGCGGTGCTGGAGAGGTAGCTGAGAGTTCTGCATTGTGATCCGCAGGTAGCAGGAGCTTCTGAAACCTCAGAGCCCACCCCCAGTGACACACTTCCTCCAACAAGACCACACCTCCCATAATGCTGCTCCCTGAGTCTGTGGGGGCTTTTCATTCAGACCACCACAGACTCCATTGGAGAAAACTGATTTTTCCTTTGTCAGCTGGGGATAGCTCTGGGGTAGGGGTGGGAGCTTGTGTTCCTTCTCCATTGACTTAGACCTGTGCTTACTGCCACAGTCTGTGAGTTCGTGTGTGTCAGTCCTATAGTGTGTAGAAGGCCTTGTTTCCTTGGTGTCCTGCATTCCACTGGCTCCTACAATCCTCTCACCCCGCTTCCTTGGGGTTTTCTGAGCCCTGAGGGTTTGGTGAAGACGTCCCATTAGGACTGAGTGTTCAGGGTCTCTCGCTCCCTGCACATCGTCCAGCTGTGTGTCTCCTGCAGGAAGAATCGTCCCTGATGATGGCTGGTGGACTCTGGTCTGATTCCCAGGTGGTGTGGCCACCCCTCGTGCACATTAATGCCGTGTGCCATGGTGCTTGTGTGATAGTTCTCTCCTTTCCCACGTGGGTCCTGTTAGATTTGACATCAGGTGCCTTTGGCTACTGAGCCATCTCACCTATCCCAGTCTTCAAGTTCGGTCGGCCTGCCTCTGCCCTGAGCTTGGGGATTAAAGGTGTGCACCACCACATTCGGTTAGAGTCTTGCTGCTTGACAATCATCAACATTTGATAGACCACCAAGAGCATTCTTACAGGGATCTGACACATTCCTGAAATTTCAGCATTTAGGAGGGAGACTCAATAGAACTCAAAGTCAGCCTTGGCTCCATTAGTCTTAGTCTCAGACAGAACAAAAGCCATAATCCAAGCACCTGAAGGTAGAGCTGGGATTGTTGGACTCTAGTGTCCAAACCGAGAAGGAGTCGCCCCCAGAGACCATCTCATACACCACAGCCGATGCAAAAGCATGAGGATTTTATTAATTCTGTCATGACAGGGTCCCTCAGCATTCGGGAAGCCGAGAGACCCCGACTAGCTGGTACAGTCTACTTTTAAAGGAGAAGGCCCCATAGAAACAAGAGGGGTTGTTCCTTGACCATTATGATTGGCTTATTCGAAAAGGGTTAATACCAATAATTGACTGGAGAACTATTGTCAGATCAGATGAGGTAAGAGGTCATTTTGACCCCATTTCCCAGGGGACTGAGTCAAAACATACGTGTATGGGTAATTGTTCAGGAACTGAATACGTGCATGTGTACCTGTTAGGTCCTTGGTTCCCAGGGGAGGAGGGGAAGCACTAAGGCACGGAGGCTGAGAGGGTTTGGAATAGTCAGAAATGGCTTCAGAATTGTCTAAAATCTTACAGGATGAGTGCCCACATGTTGAAGACCAGGGAAAGAAAATACTCATATGTAATGACATATATGATTTCTGACTCTTCTTAAAAGACTGTTGGGGGTTGGAGAGATGGCTCATTGGTCAAGAGCTGCTACAGAAGACCAGAGTTTGGTTCCTAGCACCTATATCGGGTGGCTCATAGCCACCTGTAGCATCAGTTCTATGGGATCTAATACCCTCATCTGATCTCCAGAAGCACCTGCATACATATGGCAGACACATTTTAAAAAAAAAACAAAAACAAGGTTTCTCTGTGTGACAGCTCTGGCTGTCCTGGAGTTCTCTGTAGATAAGATCCGCCTGACTCTGCCTCCTGACTGCTGGGATTAAAGGCATGCACCACCACTGCCTGACCAACAAAGTAATCTTTGAGGATAAGAGTTATAATAGATTTTAAGTTTTTCACGTAGGGAATAAGTGAACATATGGAAGTATTCCTGGTGCTCGCTTCGGCAGAACATTTACTAAAATTGAAACGATATGGAAGATTAGCATGGCCCCTGCACAAGGGTGACACGCAAATTCATGAAGTGTTCCATGTTTTTAGATATCCTCATCCAGTATGATCGGACCCTGCATGTAGCTGATCCTCGGCGCTGTGAATCCAAAAAGTTTGGAGGGCCTGGTGCCCAAGCTCAATACCAGAAATCCTACCGATAAGCCCAACTCAAGGATCAGGGTTTAACCTTTGTAATAAACATCCTAGGGTTTTAATGATATAAAAAAAATAGAAAGTATTCTTGGTTCCTGGATGTTTATAATGATCAGCCAAATCGAATGTTATGTTAATGTATGTTAATTATTGCATGTTATTTATGTATGTATATTAATGTTAATTAATGTATGTATATTAATGTATGTTAATTCTAGGCAGAAGAAGAGTTCAACATTGAGAAGGGTCGTCTTGTGCAAACCCAAAGACTGAAGATTATGGAATACTATGAGAAGAAAGAAAAACAGATTGAGCAGCAGAAGAAAATGTAAGGAGATGATGGTTAATGCACTGAGCTAAAGAAGCCATGTGTCTGTAGCCCAGGTTGGCCAGAGCTTCCATGTGGGACTGCGGGCATGTGCCACCATATGTGTTTCTGTACTGCTCGAGATTGACTCCAGGGCCTTGTACTATCCACAGGCTCCACCAACCAGTGTAGCCAGTCCTCAGCCATTAAGAATGTTTGAAGGTCAATGAAGCAAGGTCACAGGGAGTAGCTCAGTGGGACAGTGCTTGCTTACCCTGAGCAGGGCCCAAAACTCCACCCTGAGATCTGCTCTTTATCCCAAAGAAAGTTCAATCAAAACTACGGAGACAAAACAGCTTGAGAGTCTAGTTCTTCCTCCTCTTTTTTCCGCAAGACGGTTTCTCTGTGTAACCCTGGTTGTCCTGGAACTTGCTCTGTAGACCAGGCTGGCCTTGAACTGGGAGTACTTCTTATCTTGACTTCAGCAAGTTAGTGAACTTACTGTCACTGTAGAACAGAAACCTTAGCTGGGTGGTAGCTAGGATCTGAGACATGAGAGTCTCGAGTTTGAAAATGGCAATGATAAACAAGGTCTGTGACTTATCTCCAAAGCTAACAGATGGAAGAAGATCGGGGCATATGGTACACCCCTAGAACCCCAGCAGAGACAGAGCTCTGGGTTCCAGGTCAGCCTGATCTACGTAGAGTTGAGGCTAGCCAGAGCTACACAGTGAGACCTTGAATCAAAAAAGAAGGGCAAAACTGGTGAGAGTGCTTGGAGACTCGCAGAGTTCCTGCAGGGCTTCTGACTGCTTACGTAGTGTCCTCTGCTTACAGGGAAAGTGTGTATTTTTCTGTATCGTTGTTTCTGATGTTGTATTGATAGTCTCCCATCCCTTTTATAGTCAAATGTCCAATCTGATGAATCAAGCAAGACTCAAAGTCCTCAGAGCAAGGGATGACCTCATCGCCGTGAGTACTTAGCTCTAGTGATTATGGAACTATGAAATGCTTGTACACTTTCCCATAATCATTAGTTAACATTTAGGAAATAATGGTTTTTGTTGTTGCTGTTGTGTTTGGTTGGGCTGGTGGATTTTGTTTGCTTGCTTTTGTGATAGTGTGCGTCTCAGTATGAAGCTGGCCTAATTGATCTCCCAGTCTGTCTAAGTTTTTTTGTTTGTTTGGTTTTGCTTTTCAAGACAGGGCTTCTCTGTGTAGCCCCGGCTGTCCTGGAACTAGCTTTGTAGACCAGACTGGCCTGGAACTCAGATCCACCTGCCTCTGCCTTCTGAGTGCTGGGATTAAAGGCGTGCACCACCACTACCCAACCAGACTGAGTCTTCTGAGTGTTTTCTGATTTTTGTTTTTTCAAGACAGGGTTTCCCTATGTAACCCTGACTGGCCAGGAGCTCTCTCTATAGACTAGGCTGGCCTCAAACTCACAGAGATCCTCCTGCCTCCTGAGTGCTGGGATTAAAGACGTATGCCACCACTATTCAACCAGTCTTAGACTTCTGAGTAGTTACAAGCATGCACCAACATGCTCAGGTTTGAGCATTTTTTGGAGAGAAAAATTTTTTTTTAGCAAATAATTATACTAGATATTAATAATAAATGAAGGCATGGTAATAGTCTGGCCTTGAGTCTAGTGACCTTTTAAGTTACTGGCATATATAGACAGTCAGGGGCTGAAGATAGGGCCATGAATGTAAAGCTAAGTGCCACACCTGCTTTCAATTTAGAAAAAAAAAATTGTTTTAGCTAGGCGATGGAGGTACACTCCTTTAATGCCAGGAGTAGGGAGGCAAAGGCAGGTGGATTCTAAGTTCAAGGCCAGCATGATGTACAGAGTGAGTTCCAGGACAGCCAGGGCTGCACAGAGAAACCCTGCCTGCAAAAAACAAAACAGAAGAACTTTGTAAAGTTCTTTTATCCTACAGTAGAAAACTCAGTGGATTTGGGGAGGCATGGGGACTGTTTTCCTTTGTATTAGGATGCTTGGAATTGGAACTTCCATTGAACATGCTCATGTCTGTGAAGCTCTTGCACTGGTGCAACTGGTGTCCCCAGCACCACATGAAACTGGGCATAGTGGTGCCCTCCTGCATCCCTAGCATTCAGGGGGTCAAGATGGGAATCATTGCAAGTTTGAAGCCAGCCTGGCTACACTGCCAGTCCTAGGCCAGGCACGGGTGCATAGTGAGACTGTCAGAAACAAAAGGGAAATTAGCTGTTTTAAGCAACTACATTGTACAGGATACTGTAACCTAGGAGAGAAACGTTCCAGCCTTTCTCTGCTTCGTCCTGGCTGTTCTGAAACTCACTACATAGACCAGCTTGGCCCCGAATTTAGAGATCTGCCTGCCTCTGCCTCCCAAGTGCTGGGATTAAAGGCGTGCTCCACCACCGCCATTCAGCAGAGAAAGGTTTTCTTCTTTTGCTGTTTTGTTTTGTTGAGACTGTAACAGGTGTGCCACTCTTGGCCTTTATTATTTATTTGCGCTGGTGTTTTGCCTGCATGTCTGTGTGGGATGTCAGGTCTTAGAGTTACAGACAGGTGGGAGCTGACATGTGGGTGCTGGGCATTGAACCCAGGTCCTCTGAAAGAACAGTCAGTGCTCTGAACTGCTGAGCCATCTCTCCAGTTCCACTCCTGGCTATTTATACAGGCTTTTCACAGTAGCTGAATTGTCTATTTAATGCTGTCACTGGGGATAAAACCCACACAATGCCAAATACCAACATGTAGCTTGGGCTGGCTTAGACTTCCCTGTGTTGCCAAGGATGACCTTGAACTTCTTAGCTTCCACTTAGTGCTGGGCCTACAAGGATGGTGTTTCCCACCAGCACTTGGGAGGCAGAGGCAGGCAGATCTCTGGGTTCAAAGTTAGCCTGGTCTACAGAGCAAGTTCCAGGACAGCCAGAGATATACAGAGAAACTCAAATGGTGTTCCCTTGGCTGTTTAAGTTTCTCAAGGCAGGGTTTCTTTGTGTAACAGTCCTGGCTGACCCAGAACTCACTTTGTAGACCAGGCTGGCCTCGAACTCACAGAAGCCTCTGCTTCCTGAGAGCTGGGATTAAAGGTGTGCACCACCACTGTCCAGTACATTTCTTGCTTCTTTGTTTTTGTTTTTCAAGACAGGGTTTCTCTGTAGCTTTGGAACCTGTCCTGGAACCTAGCTCTTGTAGACCAGGCTGGCCTCAAACTCACAGCGATCCGCCTGCCTCTGCCTCCTGAGTGCTGGGGAATTAAAGGCGTGTACCACCACCGCCCAGCCCGGTACATTTCTTGCTTTCTTAGCAGTGCTTGTAGCACAGACACGTACATTACATTAGCATGTGTCTCGGGATGTGTGTTTAGTGAATACCCAGCAGTGGGATGTGAGGCAATGGGCATGAGCTTTGATGGGTAGATACAGTGCTTTCTCTGTCCTTTCTCTGTAGGATCTGCTAAATGAGGCAAAACAGAGACTCAGCAAGGTCGTGAAAGATACAACCAGATACCAAGTGCTGTTGGACGGGCTGGTCCTCCAGGTATGGTTCTATGCCAGGTGCTGCTGGGAGGGCTGGTCCTCCAGGTATGGTTCTGTGCCAAGTTGGCCATGCACAGCTGCAGTCCTGGGAGCCTCTAAAGTCTGTCAGAGGCCAGCTCAGTTTTCCCCCCTCAACTTCTTTTTCCTTCTTCCTGTGTCTGGTGTGTGCTGTACAGGGGCAACAAAGTCCTTTTTAGCCCTCTGGTCAGATCTACCTGTCGCCTGCAGCTTGACACGTCCCTACTTTGGTTTGACCTTTAAAATACTTGACTTTAAACCCATGTTTAGTGCTGAGGGCATAGCTCGGTGGTCAAGGCAGAATATTTGCATAGCTTGTGGGTAACCCTCATGTTCACTGCCTAGTACTGTAAAAAGGAAAAAAAGTTCAAACAATTGTTTGCTTCTGGATTATGAATCTTTTATTTTACTCATGTCAATCCTGAGTATTTGTCTTGAGTCCGGCTAATAGGACTCCATAGGAACACAGTTGAACATTGAAAATCTCTGGTTTCAGTCCGTGTCTAGTGCTAGTACGGAGCTTGCTGTCTCGTGTTCTCATACTGTGTTGTTCTTGCAGAGCTTACTGGGTGACACCAGAAAGAACTACAGGACACTGTTGTCTGTTTTCCACTATAGACTCTGATTGCTTTTTCCAGGGTTTGTACCAGCTGTTGGAGCCGCGGATGATTGTGCGATGCAGAAAACAAGATTTCCCTCTGGTGAAGGTAAAGAGCTTAGTTACTGTTGTTGAAAAAGGGGTTGAAGTGTCAGAGATTGCCTACACTGGGCGAATGCTGTCACTGAGGGAAGTCAGGGAGGCACCTGGAGGCAGGAGTTGATGTGGAGGAGTGCTGGGTTTTTTTGTTTTGTTTTGTTTTGTTTTTGATTTGTTTGTTTTTTGTTTTTGTTTTTGGCGACAGGGTTTCTCTGTAGCTTTTGGAGCCAGTCCTGGAAATAGCTCTTGTAGACCAGGCTGGCCGCGAACTCACAGAGATCCACCTGCCTCTGCCTCCCAAGTGCTGGGATTAAGGCATGCGACACCACCGCCCGGTGGTTTCTGGGTTTTGAAACAGGCTTTGATTGTATTTCTATTCCTGGCTTACCTGGAACTTGCTATATAGAACAGGCTGGCTGTGAACGCCTGGATTCTCGTACTCTGCCTCCAACTGGAACTGAAGGCATGTGTCACCATGCCTGCTTTCACCAGCTTTCCTGCAGCACTCGGGATCACCACTCCCCCACATCTACCACTAATTAAGAAAAAGTCCTCCAGACTTACCTCCAGGCCAGTCTGTGGAGACATTTTCCCAGTGAGAGTCCCTCTTCCCAAGTGACTCTAGCTTGTCAAGTTGACATAAAGCCAGGTGAGGGACTGGAGAGATGGCTGCTCTTCCAGAGGACTTCGGATCAACTCCCAGAACCCACATGGCAGCTCACAACTGTCTATAACTCCAGTTCCGGGTGTACACTTCACATCAGTGCACATAGAATAAATTTAAATAAATTATTTTACAAAAAAAAAACTAGCCAAGTGAGTCTCCAGCATATAAGATAGACTAGGCATGGGCAAGATGGCTTAGCAGGTAGAGCCACATGCAAGGACAAGGCAGATTCTTGCACGCTCTCTGACCTCTGCACACACACATACAGATACTTTGTAGAACAAAGTAGTTTAAGGTTCTCTGTGATAGTTGCTTCTGTCTTGGGACTTGTTATATAGACCAGAGAGCTCTGGCTCCCGAGTGCTGAGACTAAAGCTGTCACTGAGCCTGGCCCTTTGCCTGTATTGCTATCCCAGTAGAGCAGGCAGTTGAGACGTCATGATATGCCAGGGTATTGCTCACCCTTGAGTCACAACCAAAGGGCTCTGAGTGACTGCAGTGGCCAAATGCCAAGTAAATTCAGTCTGTTGGATTTTTTAGGAATGGCCTTAAAGTTTTGTAGGCAATTATAATAGTAATAATAATTATATAGGGGGGGGGATTTCAAGTCAGGGTTTCTCGGTGTAGCCATGGCTATCCTGGAACTCACTCTGTAGACCAGGCTGGCCTGAACTCACGGAGATCCACCTGCCTCTGCCTTGTGTTTTTCTACCTACAATACACAAAGATTCTTGTATCTATTCATACCCGGCAATACTTTAATTAAAATTTTTATTTGTATGGGAGTTCTGTCTGCATGTATGTTTGTGTGCCACCTATGTGTCTGATGTCCTTCCAGTGGTGGTTCCCTGGAACTGGAGTCACGGATGGTGTGAGCTGTCTTCTGGGAGAAGGGAATCATATCAGCCTTCTGGAAGAGCAGGCTTTGTTTGTTCTTAACCCCAACCAGCTTTTCAGTCTAGGACTTCTTTGTAGTCGCTGTTGTAATGGGTGTGGATTGCGCCTCTCTTGGTAAGCAGTGCCATCCTCACTTCTGCAGCTGCCAGTTCAGGTCAGGCCAACAGCCACCCCCTCCCCCCACGCTCCTGATACCACGCTGTCTGCTGCCTCACCTTACACCTGAGCTCTGTGGCGCTGCCCTGGTGTGTTCATTCAGTTGCCAGAACCATTGAATCCTGACAGATGAGCCTGTGTGTGTTCCTCCCACCTGCGTGCAGGCTCTTGGTTTTCATTCTTCCTTGGGAATGGCACTGTTATATGTCCTCAGCAGCAAAGTTTGCTTTTACTTGAAAATCTCTCATTGTTTGTTTCCCCCAGGCTGCAGTACAAAAAGCAATTCCTATGTATAAAATTGCCACCAAAAAAGACGTCGATGTCCAAATTGACCAGGAGGCCTACCTGCCTGAGGAAATGTAAGGAGACGTCCTGTTGTTGATCTTCTTGCTGTGGGAATGGCTATGGTGCCATTTAGAAAGTGTCTTGTTGTTTGTGGGGAATGGCGGTGTGTGGCTCAGCGGTAAAGTGTTTTCTTGGCTGAGGTCTTGGCTGCCAGACGAGGTGTGGCGTGTTCCCCAGAAGCCTGTGGCTGTCATCCTGTCGGGGCTGCAGTTCTTCCTCTTTAGAAACTCCCAGTGTGGGCAGAGCCTATCTAAGGTCACACTGCTTAACCTGGGGTGGAGTCTCGGGATACATTTTGAACTTAGTGGAAAGAACGTGAGGCTTAGGAATGTAAAATGGGCTGCGAACACTGACAATATTAGATTTGCAGCTTTGAGGTTTTGGTTCATTTCTTCCTACTCCACGTAGAACCAGGAGTCATGAACACTGTGATGATTCAGATGTGGGTTCCTTCCCCACTCGGCCACATACTGTTTGAGCAGTGTTGGACCCCATACTTAATCTCACTGAGCCTTGAGATTTTTTTGTTTTTGTTTTTCTGGTTGTGACGGGGTGAGACAGGCTTTCACTCTGTAGACCAGATTGGTCTTGTTTCCAGCAATCTGAAATCAGGAGGCTGGGGTTACAGGCCTGGCTCACCATGCCCAGCTGACTTCATTCAGTTGAAGTACAGCTACCTGGCACTTTCACGACATTCAAGTGAGGTCATGTCTAGACGGCACTCACTGGTATAGAGGCTGATACTGCCTGGAGACTGTCATCATGTGTGTTTCGGAACAGTAGTGAAATGGGCTGGGGTGTAGCTCAGTATAGAGGGTCTGTTTAGTGGCCAGCACCGAAGAGTAATAAAGTACCGAGTATAAAGTAGTATATATACCATTATACATACAGTATAGTACTATACCATTGTATAGTATCTTCAAATCACTGACATAGCTAGATACACTAATATTTCTGAATAAACACACATAGGAAAAACTGGCCATGGTGACACTTGATAGTAATTGAAGTATTTGGGATGGCAGGAGATTGTCAAGAGTTCATGACCAGCATTTTTTTTAAATGAAGCTAGAGCCAAGTATTGGTAGCACATGCCTTTATTCCCAGAGACAGGCACTCTCTGTACAAGACCATATGGTCTACAGAGTGAGTTCCAGGACAGCCAGGGTTATACAGAGAAACCCTTTCGGGGGGCGGGGCCCCACACATGGGGGCTCATGTGCAGGAGGCTGAGACAAGATAGTCTATTGTTGCTCAGCCTTTTGACTCAGGTCAAAGGTAGAATGCTGGAAGCCAGTTTAGACTGTATGCAGACACTGTGTCCCAAAAACCCAGGAGAGAGAAAACCTACACTGACATTCAGTTCTGTTTCTTCCTCTCCCTGCTGTCCTCACATCCCCCCACTCACAGCCAGGAGTCGGGATGGCAGCAAAGCACCATCTTGTCATTGTGGGGGGTAAAGGGGAAGTGGCTGTGTCTGCTGCCTCATCCACTGAAATGTCCTGAGGAGAAAGTATAACCTTTCCCAGCCTGTACATAATGGCACATGCCAATAATCTCAGCAGAGGCAGGAAGGTTGTTAGATGGCGAGTTCCGGGCTAGCCTGGACTACCTAGTGAGGCGTTGTCTCAAACATAATTCAGGCCATTAGTCCATTTAACTCAGTAATTGACAGAACTGGCCGTAGGTGAATCTGGCTCCTGGGGTTCCTTGTAATATAGTTGACTTGCGTGTACCTCTTGTGTGCTGAGAGCCATCAAGGAGAGGGGTGACAGTGAGGGCTGGGTAGAGGCAGATAATAGGCTGTGTCTTCTGTCTGTCCTCCCTGTCTGTCAGCAGTATTGCAGGTGCGGCCTCTCCAGTAGGCTGCCTGTTGATTCATAGCTACGATAATTAAAACCAGTTTCCACTTACGGGGGAGGCCTGGCTACAACTGAGCTGCATGGTGTAACAAGTGGCTGTGCTCAGGAGTCACTTGGGATTGTGTGGGTTCTCGCTGAGGCTGTTGCGTTAGTGTCCACTTCACATGCCTAGGCTACCTTGTGTAAGCGTGATGGATGCACACCTGTCAAGCTGTGATTTCCTGTGTTCTCTGTAGAGCTGGTGGAGTTGAAATCTATAATGGGGATCGCAAGATAAAGGTTTCCAACACTCTGGAAAGCCGGCTGGACCTCATAGCTCAACAGGTGAGTGCGGAAGGCTTGTGGTTACCTTTTGACTAATGTAGTCGGGCTTTTTCTGTCCCCCTTGCCGACTCTCAAATAACCAAAAGGAGACTTGTTTCTGACCAGCTCTTATAACTTAAATCAGGTCATTTCTATTACTTTACTTTTTGAATCGTGGCTTTTTTTATCTTTACTCTGTGTCTGGCTGGCGACTCCTTGTGCCTCTGGCTTCTTCTTTCCAGCCATCTCTGCCCTGAAAAGTCCTGCCTAGCTTCTGGCCATTTAGATTTTTATTAAACCAATCACAGTGAAGTATCTTCACAGTGTAGAGGAATATTCCACAACAAGCAGGCACTTGCTCTCAAGGGCTGCAAGAACACAGGTCCTTTCGAAGTGTGTGCAAGGCTGCTTCCCACGTCTCCACACTTGCACGCTGAACTCTAGGAGACAGCCACGTGCTCAGCAGCCGCACCACTACCTTGCTCAGTCCCTGATTTAGTGGTGTGGTTTGTAGTGCATGTCTAGAGGCAGCCAGATCTCTGAAGGCCGAGGCTAGCCTAGTCTATAGAGTGAGTTCCGGGATAGCCAGGGCTACACAAAGAACCCCTTTCTCAAAGCAGAGTAGTTTAGCCAAACAGGGGGTTAGTGGTGCCACTTGGGAAGCTGAGGTAGGATCACTGTGTCTGAGGTCAGTCTCCAAGGAAGTGCACTGTGCTGGAAATGAACACGCTTGTCTTGCATCCATAGTGCTCTCCTGTGTCAGCTTCAGTAACCCAGAGCTGCTGTGGCGGCCGGTAGTGCAGATGGGGAGTTAGGTGAATGTGGAAGCTCCAGGCCTGGACTGGGCAGATAAGTAGCTCAGTCAAGTGTTTGCCTCACAAGCTTGAGGGCCTGAGTTCCATATCAGGAAACTACATAAAAAGTCAGACATGATGGCATATTTATAATTGCAGCACTAGGGAAGCCGATGCAGGATTCCTGGGGTTGTTGGCCGTCCAGCCTAGCTGAGTCGGCAAACCCCACACCAGTATAAGGTGTGTTCCTGAGCTTGCCCTCTGGCCTCCACAGCATGTGGGCATGGAGTCTCTCTCTCTACCTCTTCTCCCCACCCTCTGTCTCCTAAGGAAACAAAACAACTTACAGGTCCACACCTGTAATAATCCCAACATTTAGAAAGCAGAAAGATTGCTGGTTTCAAACCAGCCTGGGCTAGGCAGTAAAACCCTGTTCCATCTCTAGCCACTGTCTCTCTCTTGCTTTCTCTCTCTTCTCTCTCCTTTCGGTTCTTCACCAGTACATAAAGTTATATTTGAGGGGGCGCAGTAAAGTAACTGCCAACATGACCGTCCCATGATATGGTTGAAGCTTGTATTGTAGATATGAGAGAGAAAGAAGTAGACAAAGCATGGCCAGCAGACTGGATGTGGCCAGGGCGAGGAGAGCAGGAGAGAATAGTGGAGCTAGTGATAACAAGAGAGAGAGAAGAACAAAGAAGGAGGAAGCAAGAGAGAAAGAATAGTGAGAAAAATGGGGGCAGAGGGAACACCCTGGGGGTGAGGATGCCAGTGTGAACTTGTGGTACTGAGAGCCTGGAGACTTGCAGAGGCATTGAAATACAACTCCAGGCAGCCTTATGTCCTTTCTGCCAGAGGTAATGGAAATGCTTTCTTTTGGCAGGTAGGAACCAGTTTTGCAAGTTCCTAGGGAATGCAGGCTTTTATTTAAGCACCAAGATCTTATCTGACCCTTAAGATTGGTCACAGCCCTAGACATTTGAGGCAAAGTCCTGTTCTGACAAGGACTTCAGCATAAACTCCATTCTGAGTGCCCTGTGTGGTCACTCCTGGCAGGCTGGAGGCACTCAGAAAGAACATGTCTGATCCACTGTGATGCAGTAGTGCTGTTCACACCATCTCTGTGTCACAGTGGGACAAACTCACATTTTGTAAGCCCACATGTGTGAGCCCACGTTGTGGCTGTGGAAGTCCCTCTGGCGGAGTGCAGTGGATAGGACGGATCTGACGTGCTTAGCTCTGGCCTTCCCATGTGGCAGTGCCCTATCTGATGACCTTATTTATTGACTGGCTTCTTTACAGATGATGCCGGAGGTCCGGGGAGCCTTGTTTGGTGCAAATGCCAATAGGAAGTTTCTGGACTGAGCCTGGGGAGGTGCAGTTCATCCGAGGCTGTACTCCTGGAGCAGCACATATCTGTGTGGCTTCCCCTTTCTGTTCTAATCCTGGCAATCACTGGATCCCCTCTGCAGCTAATGCCCAATGTCAACAGAAGGGAGGGCCACGTGGTGTGGGCAGGAACCCAGCCCCAGCTCATCTGACACTACAGCCATGCACTGGTTCTGCAGCAGGACTTGAGGGGTCAGATGGTGCCGCATGGCCCTCACCACGGAAGGACCTATTCTCCCTGCTCCTAGTCTAGTCTAGAGTGAGTTGTGCATGCTGTCCCCTGCATTGGTGTCATGTGCATGTGGGGCTTGCATTCCTCCAGCAACACTCGCTTCACTGTTACTGTTTGGGTCTAGTTGTCCTCATCTGTAAACGTGATCTAAAATCTAAGCCACAAATACTCTTTATTTATTAAAACAAAAAGTTGATGTGGATTTGGTTGTCGCTTCTTTTGTAATGCCCCGAGAGTTTGATTTGAGAGTTAAGTTTTGCCAGGCACAGTGGAATACCCCTGTGGAAAATTGTTTGGGGCCAGCCTGGGCAACAAAGAAGAACTTACCCACCGCCACCATCAGGAACTACTTCTGAATCCCTGTGGTACATGGTATTTTACTAGACCTTCTTGCAGCCCTGTGACCAAGTGGACACCGTACACAGACTCTTCAGTATATCCCAGAGCCTCACACGGTAAACACAGGCTGTACCACTCAGCCACGCCCCCCGACCTATGGTCCAGGCCATCTTTGTTGAAGCAGTTTTATTTGGACAAAGTTTAAAAAAAAAGCCCAAGTTTTGGAGGAAGGAGCTTTGTATTAGTGCAGGCCCTTACATGGCCATGCTTTCCTTTGCCCTTAGGTGAAGGCACAGCTGTCTGCAATCCCACAGCAGGGTTCTGACTGTCTTGTCTCGCAGAGCATGCACATCTGCCTGCCCCTCGGGACCAAGTTTTAAGTTAGGTGGGACTAATGTATGTTCTTTTCCGTTTTGATGTTTTGGTTTTGTGGACAGTTTTATGCAGTTCAGGCTGGCCTAGAACTTGCTTATTGGCAGATGACAACCTTCAATTTCCTGTCTTCCTGCCTCTACCTCCTAAGTGCTGCGGTTTTAGGTGCATGCCACCATGTCCAGGTTATGAGGTCCTGGGGATGGACCCCATGACTTGGGAGCATGCTATGTAAGCACTCTACTAACTGAGCTATGATGTGAGATTCCCCTCTGTATGCCATGAATATGTTTTATTTCCATTGGTTAATAAAGAAGTTGCTTTCGCCTGTGACAGGGCAATATATAGCAAGGTGGGAAATCTAAGCAGATGTAGAGGAGGAAAGAAGGTAGAGTCTGGAAGACACATGTAGCTGCTGAAGGAGAAGGACGCCAGAACCTACCGGTAGGCACAACCTTGTGGGTTTAGTTAAGATGTAAGAGCTAGCTAGGACTATGCCTAAACCATTGGCCAGCTTTGTAATTAATACCGTTTCTGTGTAATTATTCGGGTCTGGGTGGCCAGGAAACAAAAGCAGAGTCTCCATTTACAGAGCTGTGTCTCCAGCCCTGGTTCTTAAAACAGGATTGTTAGCTGGACAGTGGTGGCACACGCACTCAAGCAGAAGCAGACAGATCTCTGTGAGTTTTAGGTCAGACTGGTCTACAAAGTGAGTCCCAAGACAGGCTCCAAAGCTACAGAGAAACCCTGTCATGAAAAGTAGAAGAAGTTAGAGAGATGACTGGGTCTGTGAGCACCTGCTGCTTCCAGAGGGCCTGAGTTCAGTGTCACGTCTGGCAGCTCACTGCTTGCAACCTGTGGGGATCCAGTGCTCTCTGCTGACCTCCCAGGGTACCCGTACAGGTACACATACAAGCTCAGGTTCAGTGTGAAAATGCCCCCCAGCTACTCCACTCCTGGGTAACAGCTGGAAGACGGTAGTGAGTTGTGGGGCCCCAGAAGCCACAGTGTGGTTCTTCGGAGACACTGCTTCTCAGTCATCTGCTGTGCTGATTACAGGACTAGGATTTACCCAGCTTTATTATTGATCATGTCCCCACAAGTACCCACTAGTAGGGACCTGGGAGGGCCATACCAGGGTGGGCATCAGGGCAGGACAGCTGTGAGCAGGCCAGACTGCTCTTTCGGGTCCATTTGACCATTAGTGATGCTCGGGAGCCCAGGTGCACTTCCGATGTCACAGCATCAGTGCTAGGATTAACACTAAGTCCTCACGCTGACCCAACTGTCTGCCTAGTGGGAGTGTTAGCATAGAGCAGCCCTCTTCCGTTCTTACTGCGCCTGGGCCTGCCCTAATACACCAAGGCTGTTAGACAGGTAGTTGGGGCTTCAGAATGCCCCTGGTAAGCTGTACCACAGCCTAGGTTTCATAGAAGGAGATGAGAGCTCTACTCAGTAAAATGGGTCATTCTGAGGTAGCACTACAAGTTAAAGACCATGTATGACAGGGTGGGCATCTTATGCTCCTAGTCCCAAGCGCAGGACCAGAGGTGGCAGCGAGGCACACCTGAGACTACTCAAAGTACTTTAAGATACGTTCTCCGATGCCAATGAAGTAGATGCCCTGGGCGATCCCGAAGAGGGGGGCTATGACCAGGGCCCGGCAGCCGGCTCCCTTCATGAAGGCAGCTGCTCCCTCCTGTATCCAGAGTTTCCTGTGAAGAAAGGAGAGCCTTGCGAGCGAAGGCTAAAGGCACACTAACTCTTGACTTCTCCAAGTTTGACTTTGTTTTTTGTTGTTGGATTTGGGGAGGTCTCTGAATATAGCCCAGGCTAGCCCTGGGCTGCCCTCAACCTCTTGAATGCTAGGATTATAGAATTACTACCTCCTTTAAGACACAATCTCACGGTGTTTAGGCTGACCTGTGGTCCTGCCTCCACCTCTCAAGTGCTAGGCCAAAGACTGGAGCCATTAAACCCCACATGGTCAAGTATTTGTGCACCTTCCTTAGAGAGGGCTTCAGTGTGCAAGGAGAGCTACTTAGCGATTCCGGATTGTCTGGACTGTGGTTGGAGGAGTGGGGAGAAGTGGGGAGAAGTGCAGGGGCTCATGGGAGAATCAGAAAACCCCCAATACTGTATTCTCTTGAGAAGTGAGGGGCCAGAACATTCCAAAGCAGCTCCAAGTCCTGCCACAGGTCTTGAGCTGGCACGTTGTCAGGGGCGCTGGGCTCACCTGGCACAGTCAGTGACCCCACTGTAGGTGTCCTCACCCAGGCCTTTCTTGAGGGTCTGGATTCGAGTCTTCAGAACTGAGTGAAACAGAAGTTAAAGCAAGTAACGAACACCGGAGTTTGTCCCTTGTGCAAACCAAGTGGGTTTCCAAGAGGCCAGGTCTGTGCAGTGAGGTGAGCAGCCGCCTCTGCCTCCCCTTTAGTGGGGGAACTGTGGGTGGCCCCGAGCACACGGGGAGCATCTCCTCACAGTTCCCCCAATGCCAGCTCTGGGGAACTACCAGGAAGGAAAAGAAAAGCCTATGTGGTGACAGGGAGCAGCAAGGTCACCTCGCTGCGAGTTTATCCCAGCGGCTGAACAACGAGGGTATTGAGGATTGGGGCTGTTTCACCTGCAAGTATGAGCCCTGTCTCCATAGACTGTGAGCCTGGTCCCTAGAGCAGGGTGGCCCATAAATCTCAAACCCCAGCCCTCTCCACACCTACCGTCCAGAGGGGTGACAGCCACCGCGGCCACAGAACCCGCTGCGCAGCCTGCCAGAAAGGAGTGCGTGAAGGGGGCCTTGCCAGTGAGCTCGCTGACCCCAAGCTGGTTCAGGTTCGCAAACAAGGGGAAATAGATGATGGAGAAGGGAATGTCTCTGCAGAACAGAAAGACGACACTCTGGGTGCCCTCACAGCAGCTTCCCCAGCAGCCGTTGGGCGCAGCAGATGGGAAAACACCCTCATTTGGCAGAGGGGAAGTTCTTCCTCTGTCCAGCTCCTCCCACCCCCACCTCTGGAACCTGCAGAGGAACCAATCTGAGGGAAAGCAGTTTGGGAAGATGAGTCAGGTAGGCAGGTCCCTAGATAAGACACTTAGATGCCTCGGGGCCCAGGCTCACTCAGGAAGAGGGCCTCACCTGAGAAGAGTGGCGCCCAGGCCCCTGTAGAGCCCAGAGAGACCCTGAGTGCGGAGCAGCTCTCTGGCAATGAGGGTAGCGGATGGGCGCTTGTAGGTGGAAGCCGGGCCAGTGCTGTAGGGCCGGGAGGTGGGCGCGGCTGAGGCGGAGCCCTGATGACCGACAGCTGGAGAGGAGACAGGTACCCAAGATTTCCTTAGTGGTGGACCTGTCCCGTGTGCGTGACAACACCTCAGAGTCACCCAGCCTGATTAAAACCCTTGGATGAGGCAGGCAGTGGTGGCGCACATCTTTGATCCCAGCACTGGGGAGGCAGAGGCAGGTGAATCTGTGAGTTCAAGGCCAACCGGGTCTACTGAGCAAGTTCCAGGACTGGCTCAATAGCTCCACAGAGAAACCCTGTCTCAAAAAACCAGTCAACAAACCAATAAAACCCCAGCTCTTTGAGTCTTTTCGGGTGGCTGATCTTGCTCTACTTTGAGACAGAAACACAGTGTATGTTCTGCTCAGTGTTAAAGGCCACCAGCAAATCACCTCCTCAGCCTTCCAGAGCCGCCTCCTTACTCCAAGCCCAGGGGCACACGCCCTTTACAACCCCTCCAGCTCGGAGCAGAATTCAGTGCTAAACCACTTCGGTGTCATATTCAAAGCCTATGACTTGCTGAACTGAAGTTGGGCTTGTTGGTTCACTGTAAGCCTGCACTTGGAGTGCTGAGGCTGGAGGATTACTGCTAGCTAAAAGAGAGAGAGAGAGAGAGAGAGAGAGAGAGAGAGAGAGAGAGAGAGAGA